TCTTCAGACCATCAATTAGATCTTCAGACCATCAATTAGATCTTCAGACCATCAATTAGATCTTCAGACCATCAATAAAACCTTCAGACTATCAATTAGACCTTTAGACCATCAATTAAACCTTCAGACCATCAATTAAACCTTCAGACCATCAATTAGACCTTCAGATCTTCAGTCAGACCTCCAGATTCTTGGATTCTCAGTCAGACCATCAGATAGATGGTCTTCAGATGTCTGGTACCTTTGTAGCAGACTGGTTACTTGTAGATGCCTGAATGTTCATCTCTCTGCTCATCTCTGGAGCTTCAGCCTACAAAAACAGACAAACATTAAGACAAGAAGCTGAAAAAAGTCTGTATTCACCAACAAACAAGGACCWAAATCTGCTTTAGAGCACAGAGAGGCAGGTCCAGACCTGAAACCCTACAGACACCAAGGTTCAAGATCTTCTTCCACCTACCACCAGAGGCTTCCGGATACCCAGCTGGACTGTTCCAGGTGGGGCGGACTTCAGGACCTCCACGGCCTGGGCCAGGGTGAGCAGGTCCAACTGCGTGTTGTTGACCGACACAAGCTGGTCTCCAGGAAGCAAACCCCCATGACGCTCCGCAGAACCACCGGGAACCAGAGAGCGGATCACCATCACACAGCGACCAGGATCTAACGGGTCCTGAAGGATCAGAAACCAGAAGTTTATGTATTTATATATTCAAAATGTATATCGATTCAAAGGAACTCTGTGTTTCAGCCGGTTGCAGAAAGTTTGTTCCAGGTCAACTTTGTAGCTGTATTTAAGATAAGATAAGATAAGATAAGATCAACTTTATTGTCTCGAAGGAAATTTATGTGTCTTTGAAGGTTCAGGTCTGAGTCCATCACTACAACCAGACTTCAGACCTGATCAGTAGGTTCGAGCTGTAAGAACTGAAGCTGCATGTTTCAAATATCTATCTTCATGCCATTATACTCTCAACCATGTCRTACTGTTTACCTGTTTGGTCTCTTACAACAAATGAAATCTTAGAACCCATAGTTAGGCTCTACAACAGGGCCTACAAAATTCATAAAAAACTTCCTGGTTGGACTCATCACTGTACAGTTCTTTCATTGTCTGATGCCTTGACTTTTCAGAATTATGTTTTGTATAGTGGTATTAATTTATATTTTCAGATCTTCCAAGGTGCCAATTATGGAACTCTCTGTGCATTGTTGCCCAAATCAAATTCTGGATGTGGTCATTCAACTAGATCTGTTACAAAAGGACAACTGATATTACCAACTTTTAAAAACTGTTACGGCCAGAGGTCTTTCTTCTATGTTTATACTAAAGCATGGAATGACATTCCTCAAAACATAAAGTCCATTTCAAAACTACAGCCCTTTAAGAAGAATCTTGTCTGCCATCTGCTGGACACTTTTTGTTCTGCTCATATTTAGACGTCCTATTTTACAAATGCTGCCTTCCTGAAATTTGGTCTGCTTGTTTGTCTTTGTGTCTATGGTGTATAATGATGTGATTGTGATGCTGTAATTCTGAGTGTTTTATGTGCTGCAGAACAGGAACCTGCTGTAAAACAGCAGTTATGCTGAGTCAGGCTTGATTTTTAATAATCTTTTCCTGCTAAATAAATAAATCAAATCAATCATGTTGTCCCTCTTTAGGTCCAAAGATAAGAAGTTCAGTTTAGTTTCTGTTGAGCTGGAGGAAAGTACGACACATCCACTCATTGATCTGTTCCAAACGTTTGTTCAGTTCTTGGCTGTGTTCAGAGCCACCTGGTGACACTAACGTAGAGCTGTGCATCATCTGTGTACTCATGGTAACTAATCCTATTTAACTTGAGCTAACGGGAGCATGTAGATATTAAACAGGAGGGGTCCAAGGATTGAACCTTGTGCTACTCCATCCCTACAGACACAAGAGTTCCTGATCTTTAGGTAAGATTTAAACCAATGAATTACTGGACCAGAGAGTCCAGCCCAGCTCTCCAGTTGCTTCAGTGATGCATCTTAACGCTGCACTGAGGTCCAACAGAACCAGCACCGTGGTTCTTCCACAGRCTGGATTTATGTGGGTCATTGAACTTGACGAGGACAGTCTCAGGACTGGTGATGGAAACCAGACAAAGACATGAAAACAGCTGGTGTTTGTTCAGAAGCTGGTTAACTGTCGACAGACTGGACTGTAGGTCTGCAGCAGAGATTTGTTCTGGTTTTAATCAAACAAATGGTTCATTTTGATCTTTTTATAAAGAAGAAAAAAATACACAGTTTTCAGGAAAAGAAATAAACTACAACCAAACACAGAGGAAGAGTTCTGCATCTCAGAACAAACAGACAGACAGGGGGCGACAGAGACCAGATAAACAACAACAACAAACAACAACAGAGACGAGACGGACACCATTAGATTCAGATCTTCATCAACTGGACCAGCTTCCAGCTGAGAATAAAGAACTGAGACGTCCTGACTGTCCCACCAAACAACAACAACGCCAGCCTGCTGCAGACTGAACAGACTCTGCAGTTCTCTGAATGTGATCCACCAAATCAGAAACACCTCCAAACTAAAACATTCACTTTATTTCTACGTCTTCTCACAGAAAAAAACAAAGAAAACTCAGTAAAAGTGTCACCATCTGTCTCTATGGAAAGTTTTTCTTCAGTTTTAATTGATTTTATTCATCAAGTAAAGTGTTTTCATGTCTGAGCTGCAGAGATTTACTGAGATTAATCTAACATTTATAATAAAACTCAGAGCCTCCTTAAATGAGYCCATCATTTTCATTCCAATAAATAACTGGATGTTTGAGTCCAGAACATGACGKTTTCTTTAATTGGACTCGTCTGATTAAAGTTTGGTTCTGATCCGATGAATCACAGTTTACTGCACCGATCCAACTGGACCATGATTCTTGAAATAAATCCATCTTTTCAGTTTGAAACATTTGTACAGGAAGTGGTGTGCAGAGGAAGAAGAAGAACTCCTGACAGCAGCAGGAAAAAGCCTCTAATCGGCCCGATGTTTGGCCCGAACCACAGAAACCACCAGCACCCGACCTGCCAGAACCCGAGCCCCTCAGAGACCCATTGAGCAGTGTTAAAAGCCTCTCGTGGTGCGAGCAGATGAATTCCCCGGTGCCGGAGCATCGCCTGCGCAGCACAGCCAGCTGCCGTGCCAAGATTCAGGCAGGCAGAACAAAGCAGCGCTGTATTTTTAGACCGAGCTGCATGGCTACAGGTGGTGAGGAGTCAGAACCGGGCCCTCCACTCCTACAGGATCCTCGGGCCCTGGAGCCCGGCACACCGAGCAGAAAACACAAAGACTACATGTTCTTGGCCCAAAGAAGGAAATCTTCCAGCAGCTGGTTTTCCCTCAGGGACCGTCTCAGAGGGAGACAAGTCCAACTTTAACTCCAGAACAGGAACTTTCAGTCTCTCAAGTTCCACAGAGAATTTCTCAGAAACTTTTGGGAGAACCGGGTCAGAACTCTGATGGTTCTGTCCTTTAGCAGTTTGGATGAGATGTTCTGCAGATCTGYGTGGCAAAAATCAAAAACTGAAAGGTTCTAAAGTCCAACAGGAGTTCAGAACTTCTTCTGAAAACTCTGAAAAAAACAGACTCTTATTTTGTAGACCAGTGGTTCCCAAACTTTTTATCCTCTGACCCACAACATATTCATGGCAAAAACTTGTGACCCCAAATATTACTGGTC